GCTCCTTCGAAGATGTCTAGCTTGCTGTGTCCTCACCAGAAGTTGGGTTTTTGGGGTGAAGTTTATGGAGAGGTGAGGGGGGCAATTCAACTGCAAGGGCCCAGTCACATTTCAGGCTTGGGCATTGGATTGAAATGGCATCATTCACACTGCATTGGGACTTGGAGAGGAGAGGTGCCCTTTAAATTTCTCAGCAACATTTGATACTATGGATCATGGTATTGTTCTACACCCCCCCTCCAACCCCTGCAAGGGGTGGAAGTCAGAGGCTCTTTTTACAGTGGTTTGGTTCCTTCCTGAGTGACTGGTTCCAAGGTGAGATGGGAGGAGGAAAAGGTGACCTCTCCTATATGAGTGGCACAGCATTCTTCTCTTTATTCCCCTCTGTACACCAAGTACATGAAGCTACTGGGTGATGTCATCCATTGGTTTGGAGTGAGTGTTATTAATATGCAGGTAATAGACACTACCATCCAGGCCTGGAACAGTGATGCAGTGCCCTTGTGTCTGGAAGGTGTAAAAAGTTGGAGAAAAACAGAGTGAAGTACGATCCCTGCAAGGCTGAGTTACTTTGTCCAGCAACCTTATGGCATTCTAGCCAATTCAGTGGTGTATCTGAATAGGGTGGCATTCCCCAAAGGAGCTGGTCCATAACATGGGGGGCCTCCTAAATGCATGGTTACTGCTGATTAGGTAGGGGGAGGCTGTGGATAGATGGGCCAGTTTCAGCTGGAGCACCAGCTGTAACCTTTCCAGAAGAAGGAGACCCTGGTTCCTGTGACTTCATCCTTGTCACCTGTCTTTTAGATGATTGTGGTGTGATCTATATGGGGCAGCCTTCAAACACTATTTTCAAATTGCAGTTAGAAAATCTTCAAAGAGAGTTTTATTTCACTGGGACTTTGACTCTAGTTAGATTTGTTTGTGTCCCTCCTGGGGAAGGATTGGTTTATTATTTGATTTAGTCCTAGTTGATTTATTATTAATGTTGCTTTTATATTTTAATGTGTTATAACCTGCTAAGAGTCTTTTGATTCAGGTGGGCTAGAAAAATTGTAAAATAAATAATTTTTAAAAACACAGCAGCCCACATGCTGGACAGTGAGAGCCATTGCACCCATATAACACTTGTGTTGTGAGCACTGCACTGGCTGCAGATAGAGTTCCAGGCACAATTCAAAGTACTGGCTTTGACCTAGAAAGCTATATCTGGTTAGAAACTGGGTACTTGCAGGACCATCTACTTCAAGAAGATCCCACCTGGGTGCACCTTATGGGGGAGAATGCTGAAGGTTTCTCAGTGGTAGCACCTCTCCTTTGGAACAGCTTCTTGCTTGTTTTTGCTCCTGAGTTTTAGAAATGCTGTGAAAATAGAACTATTTAGTGTAGTATTTAGGGATCAGCATCTGGTCATGGAATGCCTATTTTGTAGCTGTGATTTTATTTGTTTTGTCTTTGGCATATCATGCTGATTTATTGTGATATTGTTCTACTGACTTTACTCTTTGGGGTTTTAACTGTACACTGCTGTGAATCCTTGCAGAATGTAGTAATATGGAAATATAGAATAAATAAATATTTGTTTTTTAAATACGACCCTCAATAATTTTATTTGTATCCAGCTCTGCTGCCTCTATTTAATTCAGTTCCATGCTTCAATACTGTATGGCTTGTACAGAAAGACCAGTCTGATTTGTAGCACATTTTTTTCATATGTATGTTTAATTGGTTGTATTCATACAACATGCTAAACCACAATCTAGATAACATGTTGGTGAACACACCTGTGTGGTTAGTTTATTGTTCAAAAGGCTGAGAAGCTATGGTGGGTCCACTATATCTTCCATCCATCTACCCAAGCAAGTGTATATACAATTGATTTTAAGGATCATAAAGCAACACAGAAATTAAACCTCCATGTCTCAATAATTGTGAACAAAAGCAACTATAATGAGTGAGAAATCTTTTTTTCAATCCATAGCTGCTTTCCAACAATTGATGGGACTGAAGCCAATTATGGATTGTGCCAGAGCAAAAAGGGGCAGGGCCATCTTTCTCCCTTAGGGAAGTATAAACCATGTCTGCTAGTGATTTTGCCAAGATTTTAATATATATTTCAAGAGTTTTATGTTATCCTCCTTTTATATGTAACATCAGAGAGATTTTTTTTTTTAATGAACACGTATGCTTTCTTTGCCTAAATATATGACACATCTGCAAGCTTGAATTCCTCCTAATTCCACCACAGTCCTACACACCTTGGTTGTATGGCTTTCTCTATAGTGGCATGATTTGCCAGGCCAGTTTCTTCTGTACAGTTTGTTACTAACTTCAGCTTACTGTTTATTTGATCATATATATTTTAACGAAGTATTTCTTTAAAAAAAAAATCACAACACAGAGAAGTCAATTAAATACCACAAGTAGTATTTATAGATACTCAGCAAATTGTCTGTATTGGGGATCAACAACTGTGACCCTCAGCCTAATTTCCAAAAGTAGTAAGCAAAATAATATTTCAGATTTCTGGAAAGAGTCCCTTCCTTAAGCTTGCAATATTTCGTCCTCCTTCAGTTTAGTTCATACATCTGTATAAAACAACTGTGCTTCAGAATAAAGCAACTGATTCCTGGTTTTGCATCTCATAGTTAAGCTGCTAAACTAATAATTGCTTATGTAGACTTTTCAAAGAGCACCATCCAAAATTAAAATCTTACAAATTAATTCTACATATTTCAGATTCAGAGGGCATTTGTGGGATAAATGTATTTAATAATTTATAAATTATAAATTATAATAATAATTTCGGGTGATATACAATTGATACCTGATTCACAGGTTCTAAGGCCTGCTGACAGAAAAGTTGATTTGCAACTGTAAATGTTTTCAGCTTTTATACATGATCAGTTTTATATAACAGCATGTATCATTTACTGTTGTATACTTTTTGCAAGTACTTTCCAAGCATTTTCAGGAATATCTCCTTTTCCATATGGTGAGAGCGTGAATCTTCTGCAAAAATTGTAGTATCTTTTTCTTCTACTTCCATGAAATTTATTTCTATATCTTTTATGTGGAGTGTCATGTGGGGTTTCGTGTATGTGTGTGTATATATACATACACATACACACACATACACACGTGCACGCACAGACACATATACATACATATAGATTTACTGTAGTGTCAAGAAGCAACTCTAGATATTTGCTCAAAGTGTGATTTTAGAATGCATATTTAGTCACAGTATATATACATGCACACATGAAAAGAGTAATCCTATTGTGCACATGAGTATGAGTCAATTTCTTCAGAAACATCAAGAAAAATATGCATCTTCTCAGGAAATTTAGGAAGTGTTGATCTGTCAAGCGAATAGGCAAATTTTAGGAAGAATAAGAATCTCAAAGGATAACACATAACAGTTTGTTTACTGTTGCACGTTCAGGCTAAATTATTAGGCCAAGTTCTCAAATCTGAGTCTTGCATGCATATATTACCTAGGCAAGTCATACTGATCTGAATTTATAGTGTGTTAATAGCCAATAGGCTTTAGCAAAAGGACAGTATTTTTAGGCCGTACAGTAATCCTTATCTCCCCCTCCCACTAATTTTCCCAAAAGACCAATTAAATATTCCTCAGGAATGTACGATATTCACTGAGTAGTAACAGTAAGGGCTGAACTACATTTTACCTCCAAAAACATATACTTTGCAACTCAGCAATAATTAAAAGAAGTTTCTCTGTGGAGAAGAACCAGCAGGTATGTATGTATGTATTTTATATGCTGCCCATCTCCCCCAGAGGGTGACTCTGGGCGGCTCACAATTAAAGGAGGGAAATATTTAATATATCCCACTCAATCACACTTTTCTACAATTCCTCACCCTGGGTCTTCTTTTCTTCTTGGCAGGTTCTATTACTTTTCACCTATCTAAAGATTTTTCTAAAAAAAAGGAAACATAGGAAAAAGGGAAGGTTTAAACATACTGCTTGCATTCTATTGTGCTCTTCCCTAAGAATCTTTTCCATACTGTAGGAGACACATCTGGATTTTGTAGCTCCATGCTTGACTAGTAATATCTAGGCCTGCTTATGGCTAATACCTTCTCCCTCCTGGGCACCAAGAAATTATTCTGAGTAAAAGCCAGATGGTTCCTAATTCATAAGCCAACCAAGTTCAGGGTAGTTGCTCTGGATGGGAGTTATGCTTCCCCAGAAAAAGCTGGTTTGCAATCTGGGCTCCAAGTTCCCATTGCAACAGCAAGTCAAAGCTGTAGCTTGGAGATCCTTTGCCCAACTTTGACATGTTGCAACTGTTCCTGGAATAGGAGACACAGCCAAGAGACATGCATGCTCTTGTCACCTCACATTTGGACTACTGTAATTCACTCTACGTATAAACTCCTACTTGACCTTCAGCCTGGTTATCTGCAAGGCCATTTATCTACATGCGTAGGTCACGCTGGCAGAGTGCATGCTGAGAGTCCTTACCTTTAATAAGATGAGGTAGGAGAGGAATTGGGGCAAACATTTTGTATTGGAGCCCTTCTGCTATGGAATATCTTATGACCAGAAGTAAGAGCTGTGCCCTCATTCCTGATATTTAGAAAGCTTTTGAAAACTTGGCACTTTCAGACAGTACTTGGGAAGCAAGGAGCGAGTTGAAGATGTGCTTGGGAGAGATGATCCTGTTTCATGATGGTTGTAATATAGGTAATAATCAATATAGAGTATTTGCTACCGAATATTGCATTGCCAATTTGTGTTTCTTTTGTAAGCCACTTAATTTGAATGACTGAAGTGGCATCAAAATACTTATTTAAAAAAAAAAAAAAAAACTTCAAGTAAGATAAAGTACTTAATGAAAGCCTCTCACACCCCAGTGAGAATGGGGAAGCAGCAGAAACCTAGTTCATTGAAGAACAGCTTTTGAAATGAAATTTTAACATAGATATGTTCCCAACTTCTGATATAGTAACAGCACAAACAAGCCATATAGGAGTAGAAACATTTTATTACAAGTTTCCCAATACAGGCTCAGTGATCGCTGGTTGAGACTCTTGTTACAAGAGGAAGAGAGGGCTTCATACTGCTTTACTAAGGAAGCACATCTTGCAATACATGCCCTTCAGTAATATTTTAGTGAGGTAGAGAATATTTCCCTCACCGCATAAAAAAAAAAAAAAATAGAAAAGCACAGTGAAGAAGAGGTAATCCAAATTCCAAAGATTTTATTTATTCAAAAACCCCATGTATTTTATAAAGATATAGAACTTGTCACCAGCAATTATTCTGACTAGTAGACCAAAAGGTGTGCACAATGAATTCTTTCTGTATATATTCCCAGAATGCCAATTGACGGGAAGTTCTGTGATGCAACTGGAGATACTTCAGATTCTTAGGTGCCAATTGGTATAAAGGTCTTTGAAGGCGATCACCGTTCTAAGACTTGAGACACTGATTGGTAGAAAGATTTGAAAGGAAGGGGAAAACTCCAGATTCAGAAATGTTGATTAGCTGGAAAGTGCTAGGATCCTCCAAGGGTGGTGCCAGGAGGAAGCGAGTGTTACGTGCGGGCATTGCGCTCTGTCTCTGCCAGACACTCTCTTACCAGCGCCCGGGCATGAATAATGCCTGCAGAAAAAAAGTCATAAGACTAAGATATGCTGAATAATGGATTTCAAAGTAGCAACCCAACAGTATGGGACAGAATTTACAACTGTAGCACCTTCCACATAAAACATTTATACATACTTTATTAATTAAATTCAAGATCAATCAGAAAAATTGACATAGGGCAAAATGCAGATGTGTGGGTTTGAGTAACTCAGAAAATACAAAGGCAGGAAAAGTACTAACTGGCAGCAAGGCAATACACAACATTAGGAACTGTTGTACAGCTTTCTTGCAGAAACAGATCAACATTTCCCAACAACTAGGTTTATACCTACTGGGTATAGATTCTAATCTAGCAGGTTCTACGTGTTCCCATTGTGTTGCAACTATTTGCACTAGAGAGAACTGATTTGGCTGGAAATATTAAGAGTTCTGGCCTTAGGGTTAGGGAGAAGCTTCTTTCCATTCTTTCCTGGACAAGACTAGAACTTTAAACCAACTTTCTATAACAAACTCAAAGAAATGAATTGGAAAAATTAACTGGAAATTGCCATACCAGTCATCTATACTAATCCCCAGGTTAAGAACGAGTTCCATTCCCAAGGTCTGTCCTTAAGTCGAATTTGTATGTAAGCCAAAAC